AGGAAAATGGGGTGGGGGAATGCTGTGCTCTTTAAAAGGCAAAAAGCAAGTTGCAAGTTTTCAACATAATGTAAAATAAAATGCACTATTAAATGGATGTTATGCATTAGGTGGAACACGCCCACATGGTACCAAACCATGTACTAAAACAATGCCCTTCCATTTATTAAATTTGTATGCCGCCCATCTCCCCCAACAGGTGACTCTGAGCGGCTCACAGTTACCACAAACCCAAGCCATTAAAAAACAATACCATATAAAGAATGAAAATGAATGAATCAATTAAAATCCGATTCGAAAACAACCCTATACGTAAATACTAAAAACCATTCAAGATGACCGGGGGGGGGGCAAGGTCAATTACCCCACAAGCCACTTCCACTGGTGGGAGCCCCCATCTGGCCCCCAAGCCTTCTGGCGTAGCCAGGTTTTCACGCTCTTCCTGAAGGCCATGAGAGTGGGGCACACCGCACCTCGGGAGGTAGATTGTTCCAGAGAGCGCCCTCTTCCTGGATCCCAGCAGTCGAAATTCCTTGACTCAGTTTAGTTTACTTAGTAGAGTTGTTTTAATTCTTAACAGCAGATATTGGGGGGGGGGCTTTTTTGTTTAAAGGGGTGGCGTTGAAGCTTCTTCGTGATGCACCTTGGAAAGAGAAAGGGCAGGAAAGTAAATCCGTGCATCTCTTTGGCCATATGAATTTCCTTTCCGATGGGCAGAAGAGGGATGTTTTGGGCTCCCTTCGCATCTCAGGTCCCATCAGCAGACCTGGGGCCTGCATCGCTCTGGTTATAAATGAATTTCTCATAAACTTATGGAAGGTCTGCCTCCTTACATCAAGGGCCGAAGATCTGCTCCAGCCAAGCTGCGTTCCTGGTGACCGCGTGAACCAGCCCAGGGAGTTTTCTTGGCAACAAGATAGACTTGATCTGCCATTACCTTTCCCCTTTTGAGTGTTTTCAGCTTCCCACTTAAGGCTATACCCGCCCCATTGATTTCCCAATGTGTCCCAGATGAAGATTTAATTGAGCAACTGGATTTTTGTCCTAATGTTTGAAGGAGGTTGTAGGTGGAAATATACATCTCACAACAGATCAAGATGAGGAAAAGAGAGATGATTTATGTAGTGCTACGCATGACACGTATCCTGTTTGTACTGCTGTCCCTATACCCTGGTTTCATTCTCTCTCTCTCTCATATATATAAATTTTATGAAAAGTTTTAAAGAGAACATAAAAACACAAACTAATTCAAAATAAAGAGAACATAGAAAGAGAGAAAGAAAAAAGAAAAAAAAAGAAAAGTGCAGAAAGAAAGAATGAAGAGAAAGTGCTTCCAATTTCCATTTTAGCAAATGTAAGTATCATTACAAAATTTACTCTACAATTACAAAAAAAAACTCACTTTTTTCTGTTATCCATTTTTTTTCCTAATCATCAAAATCACAAATCATAAGTGCATTTTTTTCCCCATTTCATGCAAAAAGTCTGTAAGGGGTTTCCAGTCAGGCATAACTGTAGATATTGTCTTTTCTCTGATCACGGACATTAATTTAACCATCTCTGCAAGTTCCATCATCTTCACCATATTAGCACATAATAGTCTCTCTGCAGTTGTCATATATAAAAACAAAGTTCCATGACATTAATCCCAAAAGAAAAATCTCTGCTTTCAGTTCTCCTTTAACCTTTGAAATCTTCTGAATTAATATATGTATTTGTATCCAGAATTTTTTAGCTTTTTTACATGTCCACCAACATGATAAAATGTCCCTTCATGTTGTTTGTCTCTCAAACTCTAGAGCAGTGTTTTTTTTTTTTTTT